GCATCCACATCCAGTCGAACTCGACTACGTCGATGCATCCGACAATCTTGGAAAGGCAAGACGGGTGATTCCAGTCGTTATGCTTGTGCCACATTGGATCCTTATCCTTTATTTTTGCCATATTAGACACCGTGTAAACCCAGTTTCCATCTTTTCTTGCCGACGCGATGCAAAGAAAATCTCTTGCCACCTGCTGACCAAAAATGCCCTTATTGTTCCGTTTGAACAGGGCAAACCACTCTTTCCACTGTTTCTCGGTGAGCGAGGCCATAGGGTACTGCACTTGTTTGCTTTCGACTGTGGTTCCAGTCATGCCGAACCACAGCACAGTTTGTTTTGTAGGACGGCATGTACTGCAGCAACACTGGAAAGGTTCCCTTCCTTCCCCATAGTTGACCGTCAGCTCTGTCTGACAGTCAATATTCTCCCTAGCTCTAATGGAGACTCGCTCCTCGCCGTTGTGGTCTGTCCACTTGCTCAATTCACAATTCGGTCTGCAGCTGTGGTTCACAAACTGGTGTATCCCGTATCCCCTGGCATCGATTCTCTGGCCATTCATCACCAGCACGTACTGGTCGTTCTTGGTGACCAATGCCTTGCGTCTTCCTAAGTATATGATCACAAATTGACCCTCTTTCAGATCCGTTTCGCAGTAAAGTCCACGTTGGGTGGGCAACCAGGGCAATGTCTTGCACAATAGCTGGTTGATGTCAACATGCTTAAAGTATAGTAGGCACTTCGGGCATGAACTCTCGCATCGGACCTCCGTTTCGCAGAGGCATTCTTGCGAGCTTTTGCCGTCTCTCACTTTGACTTTCTGAGCCTCTTTCTCCGTTTGCATTATACTTTTTGTCCTCTGCAACAGCAACTCGTAATGCTGCTTTCTCGATTCAAATGAGCCTTTCTTGAAGCGTTCCAGATCGGCCTCGATCTGGTGATGCATTGCCACCTCTTCGTGCTCAGTAGAAGACAACCTTGCCATCATCTGCTCGCGCTTGAATACAATAAATGTCGTTGCTTGCTCCGCCAATGTCTGTTTTGCTTGCCTTGACAGTTGTCAGCTTGGATAGTCCTGCGTCGCAGAGAAGTTGCGAGTAAAAGCTCTCTCTTTTACCCTTAGCCAACACTACCAAACGAAGATTGGATGATGCCGTCTTGATGAGATCCCCCATGTGGTACATCAAGTCCGGTGGAAACGTTTTGGGCATACTTCCCTTTCCAACTTATACTCATGGCCAAATAGTTCTTTGATTTTCCGTTCCTGCTTTTCTTTCAAGTAAGCCAGGATCACTTCGTCTTCGGGGTGGAGACTTAGGGCGCTGGCATCACGGCACTGTTGCCGATATTTCTGTTTTTTGGCTTCCCCTTTCTTCCTTCCAATTAATTCAAGCATGTCTTCCATGTCAAATTTGTAGCGCTCATCCTTTCGCTTTCTCCATATTGTTTCCAATGTTGCGGCTGACATCTTTCCCAGTTATTGCTGTTGAATGCGTCCCTTGTTGTGGAAGTTTGGTTTTAGCGAGCCATCAGCATTGGTCGTCAGTAAAAAAACGGCGTCTTTTTTTAACGTACGCGCGGTACTCCACCCAACAGCATTTTTTGGACATCATAAATTGTCATCACAACAAAAGAGGATGGCCACGTTGCTGCTAGCCAACACGGAAAGCTTGACTGACATCTTTCCCAGTTATTGCTGTTGAATGCGTCCCTTGTTGTGGAAGTTTGGTTTTAGCGAGCCATCAGCATTGGTCGTCAGTAAAAAAACGGCGTCTTTTTTTAACGTACGCGCGGTACTCCACCCAACAGCATTTTTTGGACATCATAAATTGTCATCACAACAAAAGAGGATGGCCACGTTGCTGCTAGCCAACACGGAAAGCTTGACAAAACTGGTGGCTCAATTCAATTGCTTTCTCTTAGATAAGGAGGGCGAGCCAGATGCCTACCGAAAGCCCACCGAGTTCACCAGTGCATTGAGTTTGATTGCAACAAAAACAATCGAACACACTGACTTGGAAGGACAAATGGAGTACAGCGCAATCGAAAAAGCAATTGAAACATACGGAAGATGGCTGTTCTACTCCGAAAGCTCGTGCTCTGACTTGGTGATGGCGACGGACAAGAGAACGGAGCCTTTCGAACCATTAGAAGAAGTCTTGAACACTTGTGAAGTGGAAGCGCTTACAAGTAAACCTTGGACGCAACTTGTCTATATCAAAGAAAATATTGTCATCATTACAGGGAGAAGCCAACAATCAAAAGATCCGACTCAAACTCCGTTCGCTTTTTGAGTCCCCAGAGGTCGACATCAGCGCGTTTCTCAGCGTTGTAAGAAAGGTTCTTCCAACGAAAAACGCTTGCATGGCAGCCCCACAGTTTCATAGGGCCGCCGAAGAACGGGAGATCGTCCCCATGTTGTTATCCCTAATTGTGCAGGCCGCCTGTATTCCTGGAGAGCTCGACAATAGTCTCCTCCAGGAGCCGGCACTGGAGAATATCCAACGTTTCTTCTATTTGGCGTTCAAACATGGAACGTCAACTCTAACGGGGCCCTCCGATAGTTGGTACGCATGTCAGTACTGCACCAGGTGGGTATTGTTCCATGCTGGAATCCTTCCTATGTACGTGGAACGGGTAAAGGATCCAAACGTGGTTGTCACATGTGGGGCATCTGGATACGGCTCCATGTGCGATATGCTCCACAACAGCAGAACTGAGCAACAAAGAGCTAATGAGGAGCTCGAAGAAGCTAGGGCGGCCCTGCAAGAAGCATCGAAGAAGCGTTCTCGAGACAAAGAGAACCTCGATGGTTTGTGGGCGGAGCTACACAGCAGCAGAACTGAACAACAAAGAGCTGATGAGAGCCTTGATGGTTTGCGGGCGGAGCTACGCAGCAGCAGAACTGAACAACAAAGAGCTGATGAGGAGCTCGATGGTTTACGGGCGGAGCTACACAGCAGCAGAGCTGAGCTACACAGCAGCAGAACTGAACATCAAAGAGCTGATGACAACCTCGATGGTTTACGGGCGGAGCTACACAGCAGCAGAACTGAGCAACAAAGAGCTAAAGAGAACCTTGATGGTTTACGGGCGGAGGTACACAGCAGCAGAACTGAACAACAAAGAGCTAATGAGGAGCTTGAAGAAGCTAGGGCGGCCCTGCAAGAAGCATCAAAGAAGCGTTCTCAAGACGAAGAGAACCTCGATGGTTTACGGGCAGAGCTCCGAAATGCCAACGATGAAATGGTTGCAAAGCGGCGTTGTATCGAGGAGCTAGTACGCCAAACCCGTGTTCTAGAGGATCGGTGTAGTGTGCTGGAGCAAGATCCAGAGAGACACAGTCATGCCGAATTTCCTCCGCTAATGTCTGTTTTGCTTGCCTTGACAGTTGTCAGCTCGGATAGTCCTGCGTCGCAGAGAAGTTGCGAGTAAAAGCTCTCTCTTTTACCCTTAGCCAACACTACCAAAGAAGATTGGATGATGCCGTCTTGATGAGATCCCCCATGTGGTACATCAAGTCCGGTGGAAACGCCTCATCAAACATAATTAGTACGGTTACTTGTTTGGGGATCTGCTTGAGATCATATAGATCTCCTAGAACAAGCATTGTGCCCTGGTTGAGATCCTTGTTGTCACGGAACTCGTCATAAAGTTTGGTGGTAGCGTTGGCAGCAAGGTATGTCCGTTGGTGACAGTACTCCAAACCTAATGCTTGACACTGCAACTCGACCGACATACGTGTCACCATGGTCGATATGCCGCTACCTGCATCAATGATGCAGTCACTAGCGGAAGAAACATTTTGATCTCGGAGAACCTCCACCAAGCCCGAGATACTTTCATAAGTAACCTCGGCATAGGTGGAACTTCCGTTGTGCGCCATTTTTGTTCCTTGTCTTCCAAACTCAGCATGAATAAACTTCAGGATAGGATGGTACGGGTTGGTGGACTTCCGTAGAAGACTTCTAGCCACTGTTTTTGCCGTCTTTCTTTTTTGCAATGTAGCTGCAAGCTGGTTTTGCTTCTTGGCCTTTTCTCGCTCAGTTTTGTTAATAAAATCTGTAATGATGGAAATAAAGGTTGGAGATGTTCGAGATATGTTTAGTGCATTGAACTACTCTCTTGTCGAACGTACCCATTGAATCCGAGACAAGTGCCATGCCAGGTGGCACCCATATCTTATTCTTCAGAAGCTTTTCCAGATCGTCCGTGTTCAGTGGAAGGAACCGTTGACTAAAGCATTCATGTACTTTCGCTTCGTCTGTATTCTTCCAGTCCAGTAAAACCGAATCCAAATCTACTGGCTCGTTACTTGGGTGCAAGGTTTCCATAAGAAATCGTTTCGAACTCAAATCAAACCTCTCTAACATCTCCATCTTTATGCTTCTTTGTGCAGTAGGAAACTCAAGCAGCGCTGTTTCAGCTCTCCGTTCATTACCAGTAGCTGGGGATGTGGACGACGCGGTTTCGGCTCCCAATTCATTATCAATCGCTGGTGGTGATGTCTCCACAGCAGTTGGCATTTGCGTTTCAATTGCATTTTTGGCTTCCCATTCATTATCAAATTCATTTTCGGCTCCCAATTCATTACCGATCGCTGGTTCGTTACCGATCGCTGGTGGTGATGTCTCCACAGCAGTTGGCATTTGCGTTTCAATTGCATTTTCGGCTTCCCATTCATTATCAAATTCATTTTCGGCTCCCAATTCATTACCAATTGCTGGTTCATTACCGATCGCTGGTGGTGATGTCTCCACAGCAGTTGGCATTTGCGTTTCAATTGCATTCTTTTTCGTTCTGTTTCTCGAGTCAGACGTTACCACAGGACGTGACTGCTCAAATTTGT